TTCAAAATTAAGTAATTTTATTTTTAAATCAAATTGAAATCATTAGCATCTACAATCATTTCCTCTAATGGGCCAGATAGCATGTATCTTAGACTCTCCAAGACATGATGTCACATACTTAGCTCTGTCATTGTAGTACTAAAGCAGCCAGTAATTCTAAATCCTTAGTCAATAGATTATGCTCTCTAGAAAATTATTATTATTATTATTATAATTATAAATGTTATAAAAACTAAGTGTGTCAAGTGATGAGAAAAAAATCTAAATTTGATCATCAGGCATTTGTTTTTATGAGATATTGCTGGTTTTCTTCCTATCAAAATTCTGCTATAGTTTGGATTCCTTTGAGCTGTATCGGAGTGGGATGGTTAGTAATATTATGCCAATTAAACACTCCTAGGTAAGGATAGGAGTGGAGTCAGACCTATCAATGAGATCACAGCCTGATGACACTTTGGGTGTGACCTTTTGTCTAAGAGAGAGTCAAATTCTCTTTGGCCTTTCACCTTCTGCTGGGATTGAGTCTATATGTTGTTCCTTGATCTCCCGTTGTGGCCCCTTCTAGTCCTGGGAACTGAACTCCCAATGGTGGGTTTATTTGTCTGACTTTGGATTCCTAATACCTCTGCATCCATCAGCCTGTGCCTTCTGCTTCCTTATCCTGTCTTCCGTTCATTAGCTTCCATGAATCAAAAGAAGCCTCACATGAACCAATAGTTTTACCTACTTGTACAATAGTGTAAGCAATTTCTTGATATAAATCCCTTTCCATATACAACACATACAAGCTTAACTTGTTTTGATTCTCTAGAGACCCCAACCTAACTGAATTTGCTATCAGATGTAGGTGATGATGAATAGATAAACATAATTCACCATTGACCTATGCATCCTTTTAATTGGCATTCCCCCCCCCCATTATTTGAGTTCTTAATTTAAGAATTTAAGACAATGAAAACCCAGATATACAACCAAGTACCTATAGGAATCCAATTTTTGATAAAGAAATATAATACATGAAATGGGTAAAAAGCCTTTTCAATAAATGGTGCTGGAAAACATTGCATCTTCATCTGCAAAACAATGAAACAAGACCCATACCTCACACCACGCAAAAAGAAAAACTGAAGTTGGATTAAAAACCTGAATATAAATCACTCAATAATTAGAAACATCAATGAAATAAAAATAGAAACAAACTTATGGACCATAGTACAAGGCATAAACACACTACTGAACATAATGAAAAATATCTTCACTATGAAGGACAAAATGAAGTACTGGAACCTACTAAAATAGTTCATTTACATATATCACATAACTCCGTGATATATGTATTAACTCCCAAGTAAGATACATTTTAAAAATATGACATTTATGAATAGTGAAACACTTCAACAAAAGAATGAAAATAGAACCCACAGACTGGGAAAAATATATTCAGTAATAATGCATCAGATAAAGGACTAATATCCAAAATCTGTAGAAAACTACAATAGCTTAACAAGAAAAGTAGAAATAAGCTAATCAAAAATGGGCACAAGATATGAATAGGCAACTTACCAAAGATGACATACACGTGGCTAAGATCCATATGAAGAAAAGTTTGCAATCATTAGTGATCAATAAAAGAAATAAAAATTAAAACAAGATAACACTTCATGCCAACACTTTTGGCAAAATTCAATAAAACAGAAGATAACAAATGTTGGCGAAGATGTGCTGACATAGGAACACTTTTACATTGATGGTAGAGCTGTAGATTTGTACAACCATTATGGAAATCAGTATGGCACTTCTTTAAAAAATGAAAATATAAGTACTTTATGATACAGCAATCTCTTTATGAGATATATACCCTACAGAAATGAAGATTACATGAACAGACATAGACACCTTTGTTTATTGCAGCAATTTCCACAAGTAATAAAAACATGGAAGCAACAAAAAACTCCAACTATAGTGGAATGGATAAACAAGCTCTGGTCCATTCATAATATGGAATTTTATGCATCAATAAAAAACAATGATAACTCTCTTACACAGTGCAAGACATGGACAAAACTAGAGGACTGTGTTAGGTCAGGTTGACTATAGAAACAAATCCAGTAACACTCATATGTGTAAGAAAGAGCTTTATATCAAAAAGTAATTGTATATATATCAAGGGAACATCCCGTTCAGTTTGACTCAGTCTGTAAGTCCTATACTTGTCCATAGACTCACGCAGCCACGTGCAATGATGCAGACTTCAGGAAGACCGCAAGTCTGTGGGTGCAGAGTTGTGTGGATCCAATGGCAGAGCTTCTGGCAAGTGTCAGAGTAGCACGCCAGAAGGAAGTGGAAGGCAGACAGAGATAGGAGAGGTTCCCAGGACCTTCCTTATGAGAAGGCCACTCCCACAAGGAGTCACCTTCAGGCTGTGACCTGATTGACAGGCCAGATTCCACCCCTACCTTTGTATATCTTCCAATTGACCTCAAGAACATTATGCGTAGCTAACTCAGTCAATCTCACAAAGATAAATATTTAATATCACAGTTGTTATAAAGAAAAAAAACAAAGAAGAAATAATGGAGTTTATACACCAATAGACACAGTTTTGATGCCTCTGAGGGACTTAGGCATGAGGGTGAGGACAGGGAGAAAGGAGGGGTGGGGTACACAAAAATGGAGGTTTAACATAAAAAAATAAATAAGAAACTGAAGTGAATGTCTCTAATGACTCACTTGAAACATTGTTTAAAACTTATTTAAATATCATTCAAATAAAGTTCATTTCAAACATTAAAAAAAAAGAATTTCAGGCATCAGAGAAATCGATAGGAATTATTTGGTTTTGTTTTATTTTGTTATTTTTATAGCAGCCTAACTTTTTAGTGCCTTTCAAATAACATTAAAAATAATAAATGCCCCCTTGTGTTAATAATACCCCATAGAGTAATGTATTATGATCATTATTCCCACAAAGCTTAGTTCTTATACAATTCTGTGCAAGTCTTAGTTCTTGTACAATTCTGTCTTCAGTTCCCTGAATCCTTTTATTCTCAGCAAGTCATTTTTCCTTTTGCATCAGTTGTTACCATCTATATAGTCCCTAGGCACTCATAATTTCATTGTCTTCTTATGTGTTTCTGTACTTAACTGCATAAAACGAGGTGCAGTTTAGAAACAGATACTTTTAAAATATTACTGAAATTGGTGGAAGTGTTTTTAAATTAGGAGAGAAGGTTAATCTAATATTTTTACTAGTGAAGGAAATGAATATGCCTAAGTAGGAAGAGTATGATGATTCCTGTTGTTTTTTCTAATCATTTAATGTATGCTATTCTACGATGTTGGACTAGATTACTTATCATGAAAGCCATTTAAGCACATTGACACATAGCAGGGGACAATGTAGAATAAAACTCCCTGAAAATATTTTCCAGGGGAAATTTAGCATTACACTAAATAGAACAATGTTAAGTCAGAGAATATACAAAACATTGCTTTTGAAATTTCTGTACTTATTTATTGGCATAAATATTAGTAGACAAGAATTATATTTTAATTTATAATTAGTGGAAATGAATAAAAAATCCTATTGTTGGTATTATGCCTCTATATCTATATCTATCTATCTATATAGTTATACTTAGCAACTCTGGAAGTGAAAACGCCATAACTACTCAGAAACTGCATCATGTTGGAATGGGGGACGAGGAAATACTTAGCCTGCAAAAGATGACTTGTCAGTTGGAGGAGGACAGGATTGCTACTTTCACTGAGCAGAAAGTCTGACATGTGAAAGAGTTATCAAAATCTTCAGTGGCACTATGGGAGGAATGATTGTTTCCAAGGAGACAGGCTGCCTGAGCTTAATCAATGGTTCTTAACCAATTTTGAGTAGCTGTACTGAAGGGAAATATCCGTGTGCAACAATATCTCTGTTTGCTTAGGAATGTAGGGTTACCAAGGAACTTGTTTGGGGAGCGTGAATTTCCCAGTACAGAAAGAGTTCAGGTATATTGCATTGAATACACAATTGCTTTAGTTTTGGCATATGTTTCTTTAATTAATTATAGATGCTTTCTTCCATCCATCCTACATATTTCTCTTTGATGAGTGCATATATTTTTATATATCCCAGAAAGGTAATATCTATGTGTATTGATGAAAACCGGAAACCATTTAAATAAGAAAAAGAATCTCCAGGATATTCCTTGTATGCTAAATTTGATCATCATGAAAGTATTTGAAATTAGATGAGATATAGGGGCAGGCAAACGTACATTTCTCTATTTTGATTTCTCTATTTTCCAGTACTGCGGATATTGAATGTGTCCTCAATTTCCTCATCTACAGAGCAGAAATAATCATGTTAGAATATCTGAGTTGTTAGGGATTGGCAATAATATACAAAAAGTACACAAAGCTTAGCCATGTTGCATCTAAGGCGCATTCTGGTTATATTTATTAGAAGACAAATTTATTTGTTCTTTTGGTAGTCCATGGAACTTTCCATAATTTTTACCAGAGCCATGATTAGAATGCACCAATTCTTCTTTGGTCTACCTTATTCAATGTTCAAGGTTTACATGCATATGAGGCTATTGCAAATACCATTGCTTGTCCTTATATAGGGGTACCACGCAGTATTCCCTTTCTCCATCCCCGCATCAGCCTCTCGATCGATGTACAAGTTCTACGTGAGTACAAGGAAGTGTTTCGGAATTCCTATTTTCTCAAGAATAAAATTGTTCGCTCACTGTGCCTGCGGGTCCTTCCAGGGGTCTGGCCCGGAGCCTTCTGTTCAGGCCCTGGGCTCTTTACTGTCGCTCCAGGTTCCTGCAGGTCAGTGTGTGGGGGATCTTGATTGTTTGCGGAATGCTTGCGGAATGCTGCGACTGGAGGGACCATGGTTGTCTGTGAGTCTGTTACCCCAAGCACTCCAAGGCTAGAGAGAGAGGAGAAGCCTGTCCAGAAGCCCTGCAGCACCGGAAAAGGAGAATCTCAACATGGAAAAACTCAACACTGAAAATGCAGGAAAGCTTGCAAACCAAGAAAAGGTGGAAACCGAAGAACTGCCACCGACTAAGGAAAAGCCAGAAGCCCCTGGCTCTCCTGAAAACAAGGGAAAGTTAGGAACAGAAGACAAGGGAAAGTTAGGAACAGAAGGTAAAGGAAAGTTAAGAATGAAAGGCAAGGGAAAATTTGGAACAGAAGGCAAGGAAAAGTTAGGAAATGAGGGAAAGGCAGATGAGGAAATGATAAGGATAAGGGAAAGGCTGAGGGCAAGGGGAAGTCCAAAGAAGAAAAGCCAGCAGGTGAAACCAGGGCTGCAGCTAAGCACCCAGCTCAGGATGATGTCCCCAGAAAAGCAAAAAGAGAAACCAATAAAGGGCTGGCTGAGTACCTCAGGGAGTGTAAGGAAGTCATTCATGATGTGCATTTGAGCAATGAGGAGATGATAAGAGAGTCCAATGAGATGGCAAGGGTGGAGGATGAGGTGAAAAAATCCAAACAGAAATTGGGTGACTTTATGTGCATGCAAAGAAGCTTGCAGAATCCCTTCCACCCTAGAGGTCCAAGGGAACTTAGGGGCGGCTGTAGGGCCCAACAGAGAGGCTTTGAAGACATTCCTTATGGGTGGTGCCTTTGAGCTTCCCTTAATGTTGTGACAGATTAGAACACTATCAACCCCACCCTCTCCTTTCTTGCATTTCCCTGGCAGACATTTGCCAGGCTCTGTGCTTTAACCTTATGCTGACACTTGGCTTTAGGCATCCCTCTAGGTACCAATAGCCTTATGACCCAACTCCAGCGCTCTGTGTTTCAGTAGGGGATTTTCACCCATTGCATGAAATTAAAAAAAAAATGTTTATGGTCCATTCTACAATGAAAACAGTTTGCAGAACCATAAAAAAAGAATAGAACTATTTATAATTCACATAGTCAAATGTCTTGGCATGGTCAATAAAACACAGATAAATATCTTCCTTGTATTCTCTGCTTTCAGTTAAGATACATCTGACATCAGGAATGATATACTTTTTTTCACATCCTATTATGAATCTGGCCTGGACCTCTGGTGGCTCTCTGTCACTGTACTGCTGCACCTGGAGGTCGCCATTGAAAACCCTATGGAGAGCAGCAGAATAATCAGATACTGAAAGTATCATGAATAGCAATGAAGCATTGTTAGAAACGGTAGTGTTGGAAGAAGAGCCGTGCCCCTCACACCGGAATGCACCAAGATATGACTGAGGAAGCGTTACCTTCTCAAGATAGAGTTGACCAAAATGATATGGACCTTTTGGGACTTTCATTTTCAGATGGGGCATACTCAAATAAGAGTAAACGGCTAAAAACATCTATTAATAATTGGAATTAGGAATGCACAAAATATGAATCTAGAAAAATTAGAAGTCCTCAAAAATGAAATGGACCACATAAATATTGATACCCCAAGCATTAGTGAACTGAAATAGACTGAGGTTAGTGATTTTGAATGAGGCAGTCATTTGTTTCACGGTGTTGGGAATAACAAATTCATGAAGAGTGGTTTCACATTCATCATCAAAAAGGACACTTCAAGATCTATCTTGTAATTCAATGCTCTTTGTGATAGGATAATATCTATCTGCATTCAAAGAAATCTAGGTAGTACAACTATTTTTTTTCAAATTTATGTACCAACAACTAGATCCACTGATGAAGAAATAGAGAAATTTCACCAATGCCTTAAATGGTAAAGAAAACAAAAATCCTCACAATTAAACTATTAGGTAACATCATGACAGACGGAGAAAGAATTGAAGTTGTCAAGGATTTCTTCTTGCGTGGATCCATAGTGAATGCTCAGGGAATTAGCAGTCAAGAGATCAAACAGTGAATTGCTTTGGGTAAATGTGCAGCACAAGACCTCTTTAAAGTGTTGAAAAACAAAGAGGTTACTTTGAGGACTTAGGTGTTCTTTACCTAAGCTGTGATATTTTCAGTAGCCTCATATGCATGTAAAAGTTGGACATTGTAGAATTTATGCATTTGAATTATGTTGCTACCAAAGGATATTGAAAGTACCATGGGTTGCCAAAAGAAACAAACAAATCTGTCTTGGAACAATACAGCCCGAATGCTCCTAAGAGGCAAAGATGGCCAGACTTTGTCTCATACTACACACATCTTGTCCAGAGAGACCAGTCTTGGAGGGCATCATGTTTAGTAAACTATCAGAGCAGCAAAAAAAAGGAAGACTTTCAACAAGATGGGTTGACACAGTGGCTGCATTGATGGGCTTGTGTTAGTCTGGGTAGACTAGAGAAACAAATCCACAGAAACTCATATGTGTATAAGACAGAGTTTTATATAAAGGGTAAGTGTACATTAAGAAAGCATCCCAGCCCAGTCCAGTGCAAGCCCATAAATCTGACATTAACCCAGATGTCTGACATCAATCTACCAAGTCCTCCTCAAACTCACAAAACATACTCAATGATGCCGGCTGTGGGAGGAAAGCCGAATTAGTGAGCGTGTAAGCATCTCAGTGCTGGTAGGGGTCTTCACAAGCGGCTGCTCCAGCACCCAGGGCTGCATTATGGTAAGTCCATGTGGCTTCTCCTTAGGGGTGTTTCAGAGGAAGTGAGCCTTGCTAGCTGAGGCAGAGAACTAGCTAAGGTAGCTGCACACTGGTCTGACCATCAGAGAACAAGAGACAAGCAAGGCGAGGCTTGCTGGGCCATTTATCTCTCTGCCCTTCAATTAATCCCACATGTGTTTATTGGCCAGTTTGACATAATAACCCTATCACAGGGCTCAAACATAAGAATAATTGTGAGGATGGCACATGACCAGGTGGTGCTTAGTTCCCTTATACATAGGGTTGCCTGTGAGCCAGAAGCAACCTGACAGCCCAACAACAAGAACAACTCATGGCTTCAGTCTGAAATTGATCAAACGTGCAATAAACGTGCATCGATAATTATTGGGAATTATAGTAAAAATATTAGGAAAACGAAGAAGGAATAGTAGTTGGAAAATATGGGCTTGGTGATAGAAGCACAGCTGGAGATTTGTTGCAAGCATTTTGCAAGGTCAATGATTTCTTAGCAAATGCCTTTTTTCAATAACACAAATGCTGCTCATATACATGGACATCTTCAGATGCAATACACAAGAATCAATTTGACTATAGATCTGGGAAAAGACTATGGTGATGCACAATATCGCGGTGGACTGTGAACAGATCATCAATTACTTATATATAAGTTCAAGTTGAAGTAGAATTAAAACAAATCAGTGAGAGCTGAAATATTACCTTGAGTATATTCATCACAAGAATACACTTGACGTACTGAGCAATAAGGATAGAACACATGTTGAGCTATGGTACGGAATCAAGAACATCCTACATGAAAAAAGTCGCTAAAAAAACAAAACAGGACAAGGATAACGATTCTATTTCAGATGAGACCCTGAAATTTGCTTTTGGTCGTAGAGTAACTAAAACAAATGAAGTATATGAGCTAAAACATTTTATTTGGCAGCTAGAGAATACAAAATAAAGTATTATGAAATGTGCAAAGACCTAGACTTAGAAACTGAAAAGAAAGAACATGTTCAGCGTATACGTAGCTGAAAGAACTGAAGGAAAAATTCAAGCCTTGAGTTTCAATACTGAATAATTCTATGAGCAATATATTGAATGATGCAAGAAGCATAAAAATAAGATAGAAGGAATACACAATGACTATATCAAATACAGCTTGTGATCAAGAATTAATGATTCTAAAAGGATAATTCCAAGCTACACTGAAAACTCTGACAAAATACCATGCTAAATGTTCCAACATGCTGACGAAGCACTGGAAGTACTCAGGAATTTATGCCACGAACTCTTGAGGACAGCTACATGGCGGGACAAGATTCATATTTGCATCCCTTCCAAGGAAAAGTGACTCCACAGAACTGGGAAATTATCTACAAGATTATTGATATCACGTGCAAGTAAATTTTTGCTGAAGATCATTCCATAATGGTTGTAGCGATACACTGATAAGGAGCTGCCAGACATCTAAGCTGGGTTCATTAGAGAATGTGGAACAAGGGATATCATTACTGATATTAGATGAACCTTGGACCAAAGCAGGGAATGCCAGGAAAGAATGTTTACTTGTATTTTATTAACTAAGCAAGGTAATTGACTGTGTGGATCATAGCCATATATGGTAATTTAGGCCTGGTATTCTAGAGAAACAAGTCTAGTGACACTCGTCAACATACAGGAGAGAGCCTAATATAAACACTTATTTACAGATCAAGAAGGCATTCCAGCCCAGCCCAACTCAAGTCTGTAAGCCTGATGCTAGTCCAAAAGTCAGTCCCTCTTCAGATCCACCTAGCGATAGGCCAGTGAAGGAGAATGGTGAACTGGGAAGCAGGAAGATCACAGTCTGGTGTGTGCAGAGTCATGTGGATCCAAGGTCAGTGGAGACATGGCAGGGTGCAGGCAGCTCTCAGTTCCCCAGGTGGGCCACCCCTCGAGGCAGGCAGAGTTCCAGCAGGCAGGAAAGCAGAGGACCAGTGATAAATCATCTCTGCTTGTCTTGCTCTTACCCAAAAGGCTTATAATATTATGGAGGTGACATCAGGCAGTGACTTGATTGGTCGGTTTGATTCCATCCTTATCCAGGAATATCTAGTTGACATCATCCCTAACGATCACATATGGCTAGCAGAGGGAAGAACGAGCATTCCAGAACACTTCATTATGTTCATGTGGAACTTCCCAAGAAATAGTCATCTGAACAGAAGAGGGGAGTGATTGGAAGATGCAGTCCAGTTAGTTCTGACTCGATGTGATGCCGTGTGCAACAGAATGAAATACCACCCGGTCCTGCGCCATCCTCACAATTGCTGTGATGTTTGAGGCCATCTCCCTGAGGTTCTTCCTCCTTTTCGCTGCCCTTCCACTTGACCACGCATGATGTCTTGTTCAGGAATTGTTCTCTCTTGAAAACAGATCCAAAGTAAATAAGATGAAGTCTGACCATCCTCCATTCCAAGGACACTGTGCCTATTCTGCTTACACAGACTTGCTGTCCTTTTGGCAGTCCATTCTCACTTTCAGCATTCTTAGCCAGCATATGCAAATGTAGGGATTTCCTTTCGGTCTTCTTGATTTAATGTACAACTGTCACATGCACATGGGACAATTAAAATACCATGGATTTGGCAAAACTTAATCCTCCAAGTGACATCCTTGCTCTTCAACACTATAAGATGATTTTGCAGCAGCTTTACCCATTGCAATATTTTATTTAATTTCTTGACTGCTGCTTCCATGAGCATTGTTTGTGGATCCAAGCAAGATGAAATTTATGATGACTTCAATGTTAGCTCTGCCTCTCTGTTTATTTATTGGTCTCACTGGAAGGTTTTCTATTTTCTCTTTACATTGAGTTGTAATCCATATTGAAGGTAGGCTGCAATGCTTCAAGTCCTCCTCGCGTTCAGCAAATAAGGTTGTGTTATCTGAATATTGCAGGTTGTAATATACCTTCCTCCAATCGTGATGTTGAATCCTTCTTCATATAGTCCAAATTCTTGGATTGTTTGCAAAGCATAAAGATTGAATGAGTATGGTAAGAAAACAACACTGAT